GAACGAGACTGATGGAATGGGGGTCATGAGAAGATGGGAGAATAAACGCAATAAGCCCAAGAGGCTGCGGTGTTTTCTGGAGACTTGGACTAAAGGACAAGTTAGACAGCTCCCAAGGGACCAAAAAAAAATGGTGGCTGAGGCAGAACTTCGATTCTCAGTTCTTGTGAAACGTGCGGACGGACGTTGTTGTGGAGCAGGATCGGACATCTTCTGTTGACCAGTGCTGGCTGCTACTGACGCAATTTTCGGTATAATTCGTCGGTTTCCTCACAATAGCACTCTGTTGTGATTGATTGATTTGATTGATGCTAATCCAACTTCAGAATGAGTTTCCGTACTGTATAATAGTTTTTCGCTGGATTATTTCAATACGTCAAACACACCTCGGTTGAATTCTTTGATGAAATGTTAAGTAATGTACATGTTCGTGAACCTAATGCACTCCTGTAATATTGCATTTTTATGGTTTGATTGATTCAGACTGAAGTGGAAATAAGATACATGTCAGCAACGCTTCTTGATTCAAGGATTCCATCACGCAAGGAAAATGGATTGACGTGTTCTATTGAAAGTCTCTGAAACATTCACTATATACGAGCAAAATTCATAGAGAAATCGATATGCAATAAAAAAATAATCAATGATTATGAAAAAGTATTTTAACTTCTCAGGGTCAGATTTGAAACACCGACTCGAAGAAGCGATAGTTTCCAACATAGCCAAATGTATTTTAAATTCACTCTCACGTAGGACAAAATTTCCTACAAAAGTCGTTCTATAGGGTCTTCCAAAAAGAACTTCCGAACTTTGACAATTGATAACGGCCGTCTTGAAGGTACATCTATCAAATTAGTTGTCATTTATTCAGCCTTGAGAAATGTTCTCAACATAAACGAATTTATGGCTGTTTATCATGCCCAGGTCGAATCTTAGCTTGCGGGATGATGTATTTCTGTGGGGCAACTCTGCAAAGAGCAAAAATGTATCTATCCAACAAAAACCTACCCTACGATGTTTGTTCAACGTTCCTCGATAGTATATGTATCTGTAGAGCAGGGAGGGTGAGTGTAAGCCCACAGCACTTAGGCCACATGTGACCCATTGTACATCCTTCCAAGGAGTTGTCCTCCAAGGTCATCGTCCATCCTGTTCTTTCCAGGAAGGTGGACACACACTTTCTTATTGACGATAACTCCGGGCACTCGCACAGGACATGCCTGACATTCTCATCTTCTTGTTCATACACCCTGCATAGAGGCGTGTCCACTAGCCCTATATTATGGAGGTGTTTCCTCAGTTGACAGTGGCCAGACAGAAATCCTACTGTTAGGCGTAGATTTTTCCTGGTCATTGCCAGATGTTTCTTCGGCGCCAGCTTCCCAGGGTCGCCCAAGGTGATCCTGGTAAGATTACATCCTTTGAACATTTTTTTTGTTATTTCAAGGAAATAAATAATTTGAATTTGAACCTGTTCTATCAAATCCCCATGGACGGATATCGCGTTCAACAACACGCGCAAATAATAAAATAGTTTTGTCAAAATGGGTGTTCTGTTCAAACAACGTACCGCGTGCTTCACCCATTTTACGGTCGCCTTAATCGCCCTACCACAATGTCGTATTCGCAATGTGGTGGATAAATTTGGATTTAATGATTCGGTAAATGATCGTCCAATTCCAGTACGTCGACGAAACGCAAAATCTGCCGAAAACATAGCCGATGTCTGTGAGAGTGTGCAGGAGACTCCGAGGCTGTCGATTTCGCGTCGCTCACAAGAATTCGGCTCTTCGCAGATCACAACTTGGCGAATTTTGCTTCGTGACTTGGGCCTCTACACGTACAAAATTCAACTAACCCAGGACCTGAAGGTGAATGACCATAGACAACGACGAGTGTTCGCTAAATGGGCTCTGGAGCAGTTGGTAACTGACCCTAAATTTCATCGAAAAATCATCTTCAGCGATGAGGCCCACTTCTGGATGAATGGCTACGTGGACAAGCAAAATTGTCAAATTTGGGATGATACCAATCCACATGATATCCAAAAGCGTCCAATGCATTCCGAAAAAGTCACTGTTTGGTGTGGATTTTGAGCTGGTGGCGTCATCGGTCCATATTTCTTTGAGAACGACGTTTGCCAGGCTTTTACTGCCAACAACGAGCACTATAGGTCGATGATTACCAACTTTTTTTGGCCTGAGTTGGATGATCTTGACACGAACGACATGTGGTTTCAGTGGGATGGCGCTACATGCCACGCAGCTTATGCCACATTGGATATTCTGCACGAGCGATTTGAGGACGTGGCTATCTCACGTGGAGGTGATGTGAACTGGCCACCTAGATCGCAGTATTTGACCCCGTTAGACTTTTTCTTGAGGAGTTCTCTCAAGTCGCAGATGTATGCGCATAAGCCACAAACCACAGCAGTCCTCAAAGCCAGCATGCCATGAGTCAAATTCAGTCCGATTTGTGCGCCAGAGTAATGAAAATTGGACGTTTTCGAAGCGCTTTACCCAGAGAAGCTGTGGCGAACTATGGTATATTCCACACATAATGACATCAATAGGTCTTTGAAATTAATAAAAAAATTAAATTCAAAGAGAGCAAACGCCCAATGAAAGACCCTGTAAATGATTAGCAAAAAGGGCTTTGAATCGTTATTCTTCCATAATAGTCTTTCTTTGATCACTAAAATCGTATGAAAATCTGATTGAAGTAAATGTGCTCTCAATTACGTTGTGGGTGTGTGAGTTTAAATCTCAGAAAGTTTTTTGATTGAATTTGGTTTCCTACAAGACCGAATTTGAAACTCTTCTGGAGCTATGGGAGAAAATATAGAAAAAGTGCCGGTTTCGTTGTTACATTCAAGGTGGCGATAAACGCAGAGTAGTTGCTGATTTAAGGAAAGAAAAATGTGACTCGATCGTGATCCGAATCCGGGGTCACATTTTTTTTATTCAGTTTTTCTGACATGTTTGCACACTGCAAATCTAATCTGTCGTTTTTATATTACAGATACTCAATCGTCACCTGATTCAACATATTCAAAAACCATACTTCAATGTGAGATTTCCACTTGATAGTTTATAAAACCGCGACACCTGTTTCGCTATGCGATAGTATCTTCGGGCGTCACAATAGTGTGACGCAGTACAAGACTCTTCATTTGACGGTTCCGATAATAGTGACCTCTAACTTAGCCTGTTAGACCGTAGGGTATCCCTTCTTCAGTCGACTTGAAAGGGAAGTCCATCAAGACAGCCATACGAAGGTAGTTGTATGAAAAATATCATTGTATTAGAAAGTACACGATCTATAAAGCATATGTTTCAAGTTTGAAGACGCGGCGTTGTTTAATATCCGTTTGGCAGCCATCAGTAGCCAACGTTTTCGATGAATTTTGTGAAAATGAAGAAAATCGTATATCGTCATGTGATACAATGCTTTTATTTGAAAGGCCTCAACCCAACCAATACCAAAGCTGAACTGGATTCCACTCTGGATGAGTCTGCTCTTTCGTTCACAACAGTGAAATATTGGGTAGCAGAGTTTGAACGGGGCCATACGAGCTGCCAAGACAAGCATCGCAGTGGTCGACCAAAAGAGGTGACGACTTTAGACTTAGTAGGCATTTCAAAAAGGGCGGTACATCGTATATCATCTGAAAATTTGGACATGAGAAAGCTGTGAGCAAGATGANTTTACTCGTATAATAAGTGATCTGTCTACTGAAAGTGCTTGAGCTAGCAGACTCAGTAGGTATTTCAAAAAGTGCGGCACATCGTATATTATCTGAAAATTTGGACATGAGAAAGATGTGTACAAGATGGATGCCGCGTTTTCCCACACTCGAGCAAAAACAGTGCAGTAAAGATGTTTCAATTAGGCGTTTAGCGAAGTTACACAGCAACAAAGCAGAATTCTTGCGTCGTTTCATAACAATGGATGGAACACGGGGCCATCACTTTACACCCGAGACAAAAGAACAATCAAAATGTGGACTTGAAAGTGAGAACCGGCCTCAAAGAAGAAACAGACCATTTCATCTATAGGCAAGGTCATGGCATCAGTTTTTTGGGATAAGTGTGGAATAATTTTAATTGGCTATCTTGAAAAAGGTAAAACTATCAACAGCGAGTATCAAGTGAACTTATTGCAACGTTTGAGTGAACAGATTGATCTAAAACGGCCTCATTTGGCTAAGAAATGCCGTTTCATCAAGCCAAATCACCAACTAACAATTTCATCATTGCAATGACCAAAATTATTAAATTTAAGTTTGAATTGCTACCTCATGCACCCTTTTCACCGGATTTAGCTCCGTCGGATTATTTTCTGTTCTAAACTTAAAGAAATGGTTCAGTGGACGTAGATTTTCCAACCATGAGGGAGTGATGTTGGCAATACACGCGATTTTGAAGAGCAAAACAGTTCTTATTATGAAAACAGTATCGAACGTCGCAAGAAGAAGAGTTGCAAGGGGATCATGTTAAAAAAAAATGAATTATCACACAAAATTTCTGTTTTCTTTGTAAGGTCGGGTTATTCTTGGCCATCCTCGTATTTATGAAATCATTTTCATATTTTCGAAAGTAACTAGAGATGCTAAGCTTGATTGATTACTGACAATATTCGAATGGTTTTTGACATAAAAATGTCGCACTGGATTCTCAAACAGATTTAATTTTAAGGTTGAATGTCAGATATTCGTATAACTGAAAATCGATAAAAGTAATATTAATTCAGGTGGAAATCATACATCAATATCTCTTTTTTTGTGTGGCTTCTACAGTTACTGATCTGACACTTTGTTAGTATTATCTTCATTTTCGTATTTACCTTTTTCAATAAATTGTTGCTGTGAATTAACGTTGCAGTTGCAAAAACTATGAAATATTGATATGCCATGTAAATATTTTTTCGAAATATCAATTCACGACTCAATAACTACTTCTCCTTCATCCATTTTTGAACAAGTTTTGGAACAAAAAGGATATTTTTCAATATTTTTTACTTATGATATTTCTTAAGAAATGAAAAGTAATCCAGAGAAAAATTTATCAAACATATATATAACTATCATATTATTTGGAAAAAATGTCAGTGAGTGGGAGAGCTGATTGTTTCTTTGCTCCTAGAAAAAAAACATGTTTTTAAACAAGTAAAGGAAGGGACAAAACAAAAGGTTTGATTTTTATGAGAGTGATGAACATATCCAAGGTATTACGTTTTGATTATTGGAAATTATCATTTTGAATCTCTGTAGATTTTTCAATATTCTGCTGCAATCGTCTGAAGTACCAAACAATGTTTAAATCCTTACAAACAGAGGCCTGCTGTTCGATGAAATATATAAATTATTCCTATACAGACTGAATTTTTCAACGTCTTCGCTTATTGTGTATATAGAAGATATTTTCAAACCGTTTCTGTTTGGTATAATCTGAAAGCTAGGTTTATGATTGTTCAAATTACTAGAACCCTGTAAGAGTAACGGCCTTTTTTGGGAATCGGATTTAGATCTGCTGAAAAAATTTGCCATGTGCTTAGGAGTGGAGAGTCTGATGGACAGAGGTCGCTTGGTGGAGGAAAATGGAGCTTTACCATGCAGAAATGCAAGTTCATTCTTTCTTCTGTTCAATACGTTATTGTAAACATTCGTTTCCTTGCTGCTTTTACCGAAATTATTATAATAATACTGTAATATACCTCCAGAATTACTACTGTTTCTTTTGTTATTCGGCTTGTTCGAATCATTGTTTTGGATCATAATTCTGGGAGTGGGGTTGGGGTAGTAGATTTTTTTGAGGGTATTTGATGGTGCATTTTGAGGTTTTACTAAACAAGCGCATAGGGTAGTTGCTTGACAAGCTACTTCGTTGCGATGTCACACTTCCTGAAGAAACTTCAACGGGCATATTCCCTGACGGTTGTCGCCGGAACGAATCATTACCATACCGTCGAGTTCTTCCCCAATTTGAATGACGATTTGGTCCCTCAGAAGCATGAGACCGTTCTCTCCATCAGATACTTGTAGGTTGTGAGTCACCTGAAATCAGAGATTCATCCAATTATGTCAGGTTTTAAGATTTTTTGGTTGTAACAAACGAAAACCCTCATGTTCAGAATTAGATAAGACATATCGCTTAACTAGAAAACAGAAAATACAATTCAATCATTTTTAGTTACATTAGTGATAGTACCAGTTGGAAAATTTATTTTGAACATCATTTTCAGTTTACATACAGGTTTATTACCCTCAGTGAATTACTGGTGTTGTGCTCTTCATCCACCATTCAGGTTATTAACTATCCTCTGTCTGAATACATACATTTTGATTGATGTATTAACTGAATTGATGAATATTGGAAATGACGAAGACTTTACTGAACATTGTTTCTGTTTATCCGAATAAATGAAGAAGTTCGTATTGAACATAACGAATGTTCTAATTGATTTTTTAATCCATTGGGGTTGGAAATTTTTTGTACTCTGACTATCAGAAGATGAAATAATTCTGGACCATGATAAAAATACATCTCTGTGTGTAACTTTTGTTGAATGCTGGTACGTTTTGGGATGAATCAGTGAGAAATCTTGTTTAATTTTCTTTGTTTGTTGATCGAAATGTAAATTTGTTTGTGTACACCCAAGTTAAACACCCAACGAAAACTTGACCCTTCCTGTAAGTTAGAAATGGACGTGTAATCGGAAATTTCAGAAAACACATCAATTTTTATTTCAAGGAGGTCTAATTCTGATATCAGAAACTACCCCCCCTAGTTTTTTCAATGACATGAGAGGTCGAGTTATACATCATTTGAAAGATCTTCTGTTCCTCTATTACTTCTGTGCAGGTCTAGATTTGAAAAATGTATCTTATTAGTAGTAAACGTTCTGAAATGGACGACACTGTTGTTTTTTTTCTGCAGTGGTAGTTTTTGTTGAATCTAGTTGTCGCAGAACAAAAAGTAGAAAGTTGGCCACTATCACTTCTTCACGAATTATTATTCAGTCATTTTGTTCACTGTGTTCCAACATGGTTTTTTCTACTGAAGAAGTAATAATAATGAATGTGCTAAAGCTGCTGCAGGAATTTATAACACCAATCATTCAGACCACAACGTGAGCCATCAATACGTTGAACAGTTAATGAATGAGTTTCGAACGGTTCTATTTACAACAGAAAATATGAAGTATCTCGTCCTGTCAGAAGTGACGAAGTTGAAGTTGCAGTTTTAGGACATGTACAAATGAATAATCGACAATCTATCGGACAAGTAGCTAGAGCGTCTGTTGTAACAGCTGCTATTGGTTTTCGGATTTCTAAAGCCTACAAATTCCATCCTTTCAAATTAAGGCTAGTTCAGGAATCAAACGAAAATGATCCTGATCGACGACTTCAGTTTTGTGAGGTGTTCAGTGAAAAATTGGGTAATAACCCAAACCTATTAAACAATACATGTTTTTCAGCCGAAAATTCTTTCATGTTGAATGGTGAATTGAGTAGACATAATTGTCGTTACTTGAGCGATGTGATCCCTCATTCAGTGATGGAAACATTCACAAACTCCACAAAAATTTAATGTCTGGGCCGGCATTCTTGGTATACATATTGTTGGACCATTCTTCATTGAAGGTAATCTCAATGAAGACTCACACTTGAATCTATTACAAGACTCTGTAGATCCTATGATTACACAAATTTTAGAAAATGATGACAATTCAGTAGAAAATGAAATGACATTTCATTGAAATGAATAATAATAATGTACGGAACGCTTTCGAGAGTAGACTGTATTATTCTATTGTACTATAGTCCGTTCATAATTTGTTGATAGCTCACTGCACAAAAACCAAACTAAAACTGGCAGTTTAAGATGTTTTCGACTAACCCACCTTGTATCTGAAGAAATACAATACAGCTATAAAACTTTTAATCCGACAATCATTCAGACCACAACGTGAGCCATCAATACGTTGAACAGTTAATGAATGAGTTTCGAACGGTTCTATTTACAACAGAAAATATGAAGTATCCCGTCCTGTCAGAAATGACGAAGTTGAAGTTGCAGTTTTAGGACATGTACAAATGAATAATCGACAATCTATCGGACAAGTAGCTAGAGCGTCTGTTGTATCAGCTGCTATTGGTTTCAAGCCTAAAAATTCCATCCTTTCAAAATAAGGCTAGTTCAGGAATCAAACGAAAATGATCCGGAAGTTGTTTTTGATCCATCTGTGAACCAAAAACTATCTGCTCTTAACATTTTCTTCTCCCGGAGGATCCAGTCCTCTCTACTCGGGAACACTACTTTATAAGACAGTTCGTGAGAGAGACAGTGTGCCACTGTCAACATTTCAAGTGTTTTTGAGCACCTAATTCCATTTCCTACAGAAAATTTCATTTTTCGAATCCATTAATTCTTATGCAAAAATGAACTCTCACTAACAAACTGAACATGCTAAACTGTGAACATTATTCAAGACGAGTATAGCAACATGACAAGATAACTAATGAAATGTACGTAGCGTACGAAAATTAAACATCCACTCTGTTCTTTGAACGGTCCACGTGCAGTCGATAAAATGCTCTTGGTAGTTTTTTGATGACACGAAACATATTGCTGGGTAATCCTTAATATAAAAAAAGCATTTTACATTTTTACACGCTCTATATTAGCTTCACCTGTATGTATGTATGTATGTTTGTTTGCTTGTAACTCACAAGCTCGGGATCTGTATTGACAGAATTATCGACATTATTATTGATTGATCTATTGGCGGGCAGATGGTGCTGTACGCAACCTCCTTGATAGGTTGTTCAAAAGAAAATCAAAATGAAAAATGGATTTTGAAAATTAAAATTGTTAGCGAAATTTTGTACTACAGATGAAATATTTAGATATTTAAATATTTTGAATTACTCGTGATTTAGTACAGAAAAAAGTTTTGAACGAAACGGCAGATACATTTCAAAATCTAATTCGATTATTTGAAAGCAAACCAGAATATGGATTTCAACAATGAAAACGTTATCGTGAATTGTACACCTAAAAAATTCAGAAAATCGAAAAATTAGAATTAACGTGCTTGACATACACATCAAATCAAAATATTAAATTGAAAAATAAAATTATTCAACAAAAAAATATTTTGAGTCCATTAATATTTTGAATGAAACTTCAAATCAAAAGACCAAGACTGCATTGTTTTTTGAGATTATTACTGCAAATTTTCTCTTGACTTCGAATCAAATTTTACAACTGTCCGCCTTCTGTTGAAGACCTCCAACTTTATTATGTCTGTTGAAGATTTATAATACTAGTGACTAGAAACTGAAAAGTTGAAAATAATTTTTTTGTAAATAAGCTTAAAACAATAGCGAACGAAAAATACTATTATTGTGGAAAAAGCGTGGGCGCTCTGTGCCATATTTTTTGTATATCAAACGCCCGTCGCTTTTTTTTACAATAATACTGATATTTTCCGTTCGTTATTGTTTCAAGCTTATTTAAAAAATATTTTTAACTTTTCAGTTCGATATTTTTCAAAAGTGTGTATTTTAGTTTTCTAAAACTATATTTATTTTACTTTTTAGTTTCATATGCTATAAAAGCGTATTTTTAAGTTTCTTCAAACTATATTTATTATTGTTGAACCATGTTGTCTCCGAAACTGTTGCTTTATGAATTTCAGAACAATGTCAATGCAAAAGCGGATAATGCATAGTGACGTCGATGGCATTTAAAAATAGTAACACTGTTACATGTTTTAATAACAGTTGACAGATTTTTTTCCCTCAATAATAAAGCTATCAATAAAAATTTATGTAGTTGAATTCTGTTACGTTATACTGTTGGTGAGACTGCGAAAAATATTTATCCTTTTGAGGTGCCTTGATATTGCTGATAACGATAGTAGCCGCTGCTGTTGATACTGATAGAAAAACGTATTTCCAAATAGACGATATATAAAATCAAACTCCGTTTAGCATGAAAAATGTATGTAAAAACTTGATCTCTCATTCAAGATTTTTTTCAGAGAAGTGATTGTACAATTGACAACTATCTTACCTGAAGAGGCTTCTCTCCAGACGACAATTTGGAAACATACTTCGAAGGAAAGAATCCGACGCGACCCAAACATTTTCCTTTCCACCAATCTGAGTCTGAAGTATCAATAACTGTGACCTTGTAACCAGCTTTCAGATCGAGTTCATCCTGATGACGGGACTTGAAGTTGTATAAAACCACATACAGATTGGTCGGGAGTAATCTATGAGATTTCTGTTGAGAGAATAAACATGGCAAATAATATTACTCGTTTACTCGTATAATAAGCGTTGACATAGATAGGAACGTTCTAAAAATTTCGAAATTTTTCCTGATTAGGGTGTAAAAATGCAATGGCTTGTTCAGGCACTGACTTTATGGTCCGGAAATGCATTGTTTCCAAGATACAGGGTGTTGAACTTATTTGAAAATCTCTTTTTTAATTTACATCGCGACTATTCCTCATTCAATTTTGGTGAAATTTGTCAATGGTAGTTTCAATGATGAAAGGATATTTTTAGCCTTGATTATGTATAAATAATGGAGTCCAGTGACTTGATTTAATTCCAAGGCTTGTTTTATAAGAATTGAATGCATAAGAAATGAATGCAAACAGTAAATGAATAAATCTAAAGAAATGAACGATAAACGTTCAAGCAAGTCTCGAATATGATAATTTATTGAATAATAATTTATTGAATCCTTCATGATTACAAGTTGATAGAGGATACCTACAGAGTAGGTTAAATGGACTGACGTCTATCAGAAAACAACTACTCCAACAGGCGTCATTGCAGGCATCTTCACATAAAAATTCCTGCATATGCAATTGGCAATACAACTGAAAGAGTCGACCTACAATTTTGGAACAGGCACACTTGCAGACCGGTTTCGGGTTCATTAGCCACTCATCAGTGCAAAATAGTGGCCATCATCGACCTAAAGTCAATGATATTCCACAATTGAAAATCGGAATTTTTTCAGAGTATTTCATTCCTCTTCCGAAGTTGGAGCGAACATCACAAAATATCACTCCTGATTCCTCTGAATAAGGAAGGAAAACTTTCTTTTCAGTCAGTGGCCTATGATTGAACACTGGCAGTAAATAAATCTAAAGCAAACGAACTTCAAACGTTCAAGCCAGTCTCGATATACCTACACAGTAGGTTTAATGGACTGACGCCTATCAGAAAATAACTACTCCCCTGGCTAATACGAAGGGCATTGGATTATATCCTGGCTTGAACGTTTAGAGTTCATTTGCTTTAGGTCGACTCTTTCAGTTGTATTGCCAATTTCATATGCAGGAAATTTTCTGTGAAGATTCCTGCACTGACGCCTGTCGGATATAATCCAACGCCCTTCGTGGTATCAGCCAGAAAAGTAGTTGTTTTCTGATAGGCGTCAGTCCATTAAACCTACTGTGTAGGTATATCGAGACTGGCTTGAACGTTTGAAGTTCATTTGCTTTAGATCCAATGTGAATCGCTACTTTCGCATAGGCACCGCTCTTAGAACGCCTCAAGGATTCTCCTGTGGTGCTTGTGTTTTGTCCTAAAAAAATACGTACTTTTTGTTATATTTTCGAGTAAATGAATGAAGTTATTGTTTGTTGAGTGAAATATTTCTTTATTGAAATTTTTAAAGGTTAAATAGGAATTATACGTACTGAAATAACACAGCTGTTTGAAACACAACAATTCATCTCAATTCCCAGTGTTCTAACCCTTTTTTTGAAATGCTATTATAATAATAATACATTTATTTTCCCAAAGATGATAAAACATATAGGAATAGTCACTTATAATCTAAAGATCTAAAAAATAAAATATTCATCCAATGTATAAAAAGCATTGTCGAGTAAATATTTCCTCAAGCGAGTTTTAAAAATAGAAATATTGGCGCAACTAACTATTTCTTTAGGCAGTTTATTAAAAATCCTCATACTCAAATATTCAGAAGATTTCGAAGATACAACATATTTACAGTAGGGAATGTGGAAATCAGCGCAATTTCTTTTATTTGTGTAAACGTATACACACATTTCTAAAATTGAAATAATCGTCATTGTCAAAATTTTCGATGCTTTAAAAATTGATTTATAGGATGCTTTACTCGAGGTATCGCAAATGATTTTTAAAATGCGTTTTTGTACAATAAATACGTCTGGTGCTCGAGTGGACACACCCCAGAAACATATGCCATATCGTAATCGGGAGGCTACTTATGCATGATATAATACGATTAATTGTTCACGTAACAAAATGTCCTGAAGATTTCGGAACATAAAACATAATGAGTTCAATTTTGAGATCAAGTTGGTACAATGTTCTTTCCAGTTTAAACCAGAGTCTACAGTAATTCCAAGAAATTTAACTGATAAAGTAGGCTCAATCAAGATTTCATCAGTTTTTATTGTTACAGTTTCACATTGTTTTTGGTAGTTGAAGAATCGTATTATATTTGTCTTACTACTATTGAACCCACACAGCACCAGATATTCATGGAATATTCCCTGTATATCATAAAACGAACGTATATATTCCAAATATTCATAGAATATTCTTGGAATATATACATGTCTTTAGAATATTCATAGAATATGCTTGAATGAATATGGCAGGATTATTCCCGAAAGAATGTGCATAGAATGTCTATAAATGGATTATTCTCCCTTGAATATTCTAAGAATATTGTCGATCGAATATACCACATGGTATATTCTTAGAATATATCCCCACGGTATATTTTGGAATATTCCATACAATGGAATTTTGAATTATCTTATAATAACGTATTCAAATAATTCAATATTATTAAAAACAAAAATATTTGAAGATCTTAATCGAATGCATAACCTAATGTATATAACCCTGATAGTGTTAACCAGTTTTTGAACTCAACGC